CTTGTTCTTCTCAGTCTGATTGTACCTTACATGTACGTAGACTGCAGGAATGGCGTTGCACTTGCTGGCTGGCTGGTCAGGCATGATATGATAGCACCATATGGATCACAAGTACTATTTTGTAGGGATTTTGAAATGCTGCTTTGAGAAAAAACACAAACACAAGCAGTGAGTGATAAATACATGTACACATGTATTGAAAAATATTGTAGTGGAAACTTTGCTAAAGAAAACCGTTAAAGGCTTTTTAAAGTTGTAAACTTGTTTTTAAGTTCTCTTATTTGTCATTCTTATTATGAAACTTGTAACTTTTTTAAAATCTGAATTTGAATTTTGAAACACTCTTTATACAGTGCTGAGGATGTGGTTTCCTGTGTACCTTAATGGATATGTTGCATAGATTATAAATGGATATATTTATATGTATTTCAGGGGGAAAAAATTAACCAATTTCGGGGGCTTGCTTTTATGAAAATTACACTCTTTATTCTTTAATTTGTTTTGCATTGAACTCTATGCACATTTTTTTGTGCTCTTTTATGACTTTCGGGGGCTAATTTGCCCCGAGCCCCCTGTATTTTTTTCACTGATGTGTTTGTATGCAAATGAAGTAAATCTACACATGATTGAATGAATGATTGAATGAATAAATGGATGAATGAATGAAATACATTGTTTTGTTCCCTCTTTCTTCCCCTAGCCTCCAAAGCCCAAGTCATCAGCGAAGGGGAAGGGGAAGGGAAAGCTAAGCAAAGCTGAGAAGGAGAAGTTAAAGAAAGAAGAAGAAGCACAACAAGTAAGGGAAGAAGGTCAGCAAATTCTCTTTAATACAATTTATTTGAGCAAATGTTCCTTTTAAAGGGGACGTCCAGTAGTCCACACTAATATAAGATATTCATGGTTTTCTTTGAAGGCTTTGAACAGTTAGAATATATTGAAGTCAGTATTGGGCACCGCACAAGTTATCCTTTGGTTAATAGCCAAATGTTGCCCATTTCAAATATATTATGTTGTAAAACAAACGTGAGTTACTACATTGTGTGTGTGTTGGTAGGGGGAAAAAATACACAGAGCTCGGGGCGAATTAGCCCCAAAAATGCCCAAAAGAGCCCTCGAAAGTCATAAAAGAGCTCCCCAAAATTTGCATAGAGTTCAATGCAAAACAAATTAAAAACAAATTAAAGAGTGTTGTTTTCATGCAAGCAAGCTTGTAAAGTAGCCCCCAAAATTGTTTAAGTATTTTTCCCCCCTGGTTGTGTGTGTGTGTGTGTGTGGGGGGGGGGGGGGGTGGCCCAGTGAGTGGTGCAGGACACAGCATAATTACAGCACACATGGGCATAACTCATACCCACCCTAGTGACTTTGTCAAGTACAATTCCCTGATTAGCACTCACTAACTAGACGGAGGAAGTGGACGTGTAATTGATAATGGCATTGGGAAGTCTAGAGGGTGATTACACTTTTATTGGAAATGTCCTTTCTTTTCATAATCTACACTTGGACACATTGATGCAAAAAGCAAAAACAATCTTCTTTGTCTTGTAGCAATACCATTCGCTTCTCATTCCTCTCAGCACATAACTTGTACTTAGCTAAATATTAAAATGAAATCAGGGAAAAAATTAATATTTATTTTCGGGGGCTACTTTTCAAGCTTGCCTGCATGAATATAACATTCTATAAAATTTGTTGTGCATTGAACTCTATGCAAATTACGGGGGCCCTTTAGGGCATTTCAGGGGCTATTTCGCCTGAGCCCCGTGTATTTTTTTTCACTGAATGAAATATTTGGTTGCCTGCCTCACTCCATAATAAAAGATTGATACATGTACACTAGTGGAATGAAAGATAGCAAGTGTTGCCAATTTGAGTTGAAATGATAGAGATTTGCAAGACAGGTGCAGTGATACCCGTTGGTCATGATTTGAATGGCGTGAACTTGCATGGTGAGTGTTGCAAGAGAAGGTATATATGTAGATGGAAATTGAAGAGAATAAATTCATCCCCCGATGTTATGACTGAAAAAGGGTTAACACATGGTTCTAATGCTAAAATAATCCACAACAGAAAAGGGCCTACTATTACATTTGTATATTAATTCCTACCCATTGTAAGATAGTGATGTCAACATTTAGCCAAACTCCTGAACTCTTTGGGCCCTTTGAGTTTTATTATGGGCCATATTTTTCAGGATTTTTGTGAACAAAGCACAGAGTCTAAGATTGTCAGGCCCGCACTAACATACTATGTACATGTATGTAACAAATAAACTATAGGTTAGATACAGTATAAAACATATAAGATCAATAATAAAACGGTCCATTTTTAGAATGTCCAACTGTGTATTAAAGGTTGCAGTACATGTGTTATTTCTTTTTGCCCTACTAGTTAATGTCATTCGTGATGATGAGTAGCACATCATTGAGGTAGACATCTCGTGCTAGTACCTACTCATGTACAGGGAAAAAATGACGTTAAACATTTCTGGGGCTACTTTTCAAGCTTGCTTGCATGAAAATAACACTCTTTAATTCGTTTTGCATTGAACTCTATGCAAAATTTGGGGGCTCTTTTGGGCATTTCAGGGGCTAATTTGCCCCGAGCCCCGTGTATTTGTTTTCCTGCTCATGTAACATGCAATCTGACAGACAATGACAAGTTCTCACATCTAGAATGTGTAAAAGGAAACACATGTATGTAGAGTCTTCGTTCGGATGCATCTCGTTTTGACTTTTCATTGTTCTCTCATCTATTGCGGATGACCTTTGTTGTATTCCTAGGACAGGTTGATTACCAACATCCCCCCTCCTCTAATCTGCACCCCACCCCCACCAGCCCATCCACACTCCAACCAACCAACCCCCTGTCAGTCTCACCAGTGACTAAGGCCGTCTCTGATTGGTCGATGTAGTTAGGGAAGTTGGTACTTCCTGTTTCAGTGGTTGCCTGCCTGCCACAGGTGGCTTAGTTTAAGAGGGGCTTGTTCTCGGCTCTAGGAACCAATGAGCCCAGAGCTCTTCGTGTGATTCACAGCAAGGCCTGATTCACAAACTCTCTCTTTCCTCGATGCCTGGCCAGCCCTGTCACGCTGGCTTAAATAGGGAGAACTTTAGGGCGTTGTCTATCAGTTCCGTGCAGTTTGCCTCTTCGGAAGGAACCGTTCTTGGTTTGTGGAAGCTTCGGCTTTGACTGAGCGCTTCTTCAGTTCTTCAATCCCTGGTGCAGCAGCGTCTCTCCTTGGACTCAGTGCCTCGTATGTAGGGTGTGTGAGATCCAGTGAAACATTTAGACTAGGTCCAGACTGTGATCTTATCGGCTGACTGACTCCACTGACATTGCCTCAAGGTCTGTACATTATCTCTCAATCTTCAATAGCTGTGTTCTTACTGTGTCTGTTGGTGTCTCTTGTATCAAGTTATACAAATTGAATAATCTATGCTAACTTGCTAAGTAGTTAAGTCTCAGGCATTTAGTTTTGTGTAGAATATTCCATTTAAGAAAGCCATATTGGATATAGTACATGTAGATCAATCCTAATTTTGGGGCACTTTTGACTTGGTAGGTTACCCCCTCAGAGACTAGATCCTGATAAGAAATGCTCTTGTTTCACAATTTTTAAAAACATTTCTAAGAGACACATAAAATATTCTATATGTTGCTTCAAAAGAATAACAATCTTGAGCAGATATGCTTAAGGTACGTACATGTGCATACAATGCTAATCTGAAAGAGGAAATATTTCCTTCTATAATTCAACAATAATTCTTAATTTTTTCATGATTACATCGTTTAACGCTTGACACTGTAAAAACACAAGCTATTGACTATGACCCCTACCTTACAAACATCTACTAGTCTAGTGTTGTAACATTGTCCAACTCTCATTGTTCATGACAGTTACTGTTACGTGTGATTAGTTTTGGTCGGTTATTGTTTCTAGAGAAACGAACAATGAACAATCTTTTGCATATTCCTCCCGAGCGGATAGGTTGTTTCCTACATGGTTTCCGAGAGGAAATGCTCGGGTCTGTGAAATGTCAAAAGTCTGCTTGCTTTTGTTGTTACACCTGCCGATTCTCTCTCAATTGATATCACACACAAACTGGTCTTCCCATACTGGAAGGCTACAGTACGTGGTGGGGAATGGCATTGCTCAATGTTTTAGGTTGTGATATTATGCAATAGTTAGGGTAGGGTTACAAACTAACTTTCATGGAATTGGGTTGAGATTAAGATTTTTAGAGTCTGTATAAAGTACGAGCCGTTTTGTAAATAATTTGAAGGGGGGGGGGGTGGGGTGTCCAAACTTGGATTGTCAGCACCTATGTGTCTTGGACAACTGCTAGTTTAGAGTCCTTGTCAAGAAATTGTTTTTAGAAGAACAGTTGCTGGAATTATGGCCAAGAAACAAGAAAATAACTTTGTTTCAGTTCAGTATCGCTGTATTGACGTACATCTTGCAATTTTTGTTTCATTCCTTTCTCTTTTTTGAGAGATCTGTTTATGAGTATTTTACTATCATGAATTAAAGCGGTGATGTTGAATTATGTGTATACATTGCCATCCTTTTATTTCATTTAATGGGCAGTTAAGCGTTATGAATGTGTGGTATTTGGGTTTATGGGATATTAACTGTCAAATATAATACAAGAGAATCTAGTTCCCTTTTGTTAATCGATTTCAAAACTGTTATTCACCATTCCATTGATTCATGTAATACTCAAAGGGAAAGAAAAAAAAAACCCAGAGCAAAAACAAAAACTAATGTACAAACTGCCTTTGAAAATATATTATCATTGTTAAGAGCTAGATTTTTAAAATTCAAGATGACTTTATTTAGATTTCAAATTCATTCTCAAATAATTATTTTGAATTTGCGCGACTAGGCTTCAATGTTGAAAAGTATCAATAATGTTCCCCTTTCTCTTCATTTCATATGGAAAAGCTCTTCCAATTGATTTATTTAGAACATTTATTTTAAACTAACCTTCCTTTCAATATTGAAATCAGTTATATGCATGTACTGGAGGCCCTACTTGCTAAATCAGTGGTAACATTTCAAATCAGTATCGAATAATGTACAATGATAAACCAATCCATTAAACTACACATAGGCCTCCATCTACACTGTCCATGCAATGTATGTGTGTAATCAGAGGATAAAGAGAAGGTCCACTGGTTTGTTAGATTTGACCCTAGGTTCAAAGGTCACCCAATGGGTAAACCACCTGGGATTTGGGTTTAAACCATGAGCAATTGCTTTCACAGGAAATCTAGATTAGTGTTTGAGGGGTCTTTGTCCTGTGAGCATACCTGTAGACCAGGGCCCTTTGTTCTGTTCTGCATACCCTTAGGTTCTAAGGCTGGCTCCCTCTTTTCTTCACTCAACTCAAGTACTGCTGCTCTATTCATTCATGCATTCAAACATTTCCCGCCACAATGCATCACAGCTAGTACACAGTAGAAGGCATGTGTGCGTGCGTGCGTGAGTGCACAGCCTGGCCTGGCCTGGCCTTGGGAGTCTATTGTACAGCTATGCACTAACCATGTGCCGAGTGCTGTAGTAGAGTCAAGCTTTTGTACAGCCCACTCTGAACATGCATGAGTCTGAGCATGGTTGGTTGGTTTCTTGGTTGGTTGGTCCTCCAAAATATTCGTCTTGAGTTTTAACTGGAGGTCCTTGGTCTGAGTAAAGCATCTTGTTCCTCTACCAGTGCTGGTCTAGCAATTTCTCCTCTGGTTTATTTATCATTTTCGGCAAGGATAAGTAAGTAAGAGATTCTCTATTGGTTTTAATTTCTTATGCAAAATGAAGTTTATCAAGATAAATTAAATATTTTGATTTAGGTTTGGAAATCCTTCTGTATTTTCAATGGGAAATTACTCTGAATTCACATGCTGCTTTATTGAACATAATAGTTAAATTATCTTGTATTTATCCGTACAGAATTGTCTTATCATTTTCTGGCTGCTGCTTTTTATGATTGCTTTCAAGTATTAAAATTTACCAAGTAGATAGGAGTGTATTGTGTACACTGCTGTGCATTTTAGTTTTATTAGCTTCTGAGTTCATAGGAAGGGCATTGAGCTGACATGTGTTATATGGATGCATAGTGACCATACCGAGAACCAGAGGGCAGAGGGAAGCTTTCTTATACGAACTACCGGTATAGATGCCTTCATACCAGGTACACAATACATGTCATGCATTGAGGCTCGTATAGAGAGAAATGGACTCAAACCGTAATGGCTTGTACATGTAGTTGCAGAATCAAATATATTTAAATCCTACATTTGTTTTATTCAATTATGTTGTGTTAACATGTTATGACTCTTAGATAGCATTTCATAATTGACTCTTTGTATTACTTGGATGTGTTGTGTGTGCGTATTAAATGTAATGCGGTAGAACATGCAAAGTGTCTCAGATAGTCAGGCTAGATTTTACCATTCATTGTATGAAATAGACTTCCTCTGGCAATCAATTACATTGTAGCAACATCATGACTGGTGGAATTACAGGAGCATTGTTTTCTAGATACCGGGCTTTTACTAGCTATAAAGTTTAAGCCATTGGCTTTTCGTTCTTGACTGTGATAGAGACAATACCCATTGTCTCTTTCAGTACATTACAGCCTCTACACCTTTAGCACCATTCAGTGAAGAGGAAGTCACACATACCTGTAGATTAAGCACCATATATTATATATTCAACAGTGTGCGTGGACTAGAGTGAAAATTCCATTTGTATTAGATAGTTACAGATGTAGCTACAGTAGTACATATTAAAAGTGTAGCACAATAATTCCACAATAACTGCATGGTCAATACGTACTTCCGAGAGCTGAACATTTGATAAAGAAAAAGCGCATGTTGCAATGTGACTTGTTTAATATTTAGCTCTTAAATGTGAGCTACATATTAAGAGTTATGCAATATTTTCTCTCCTTTATATGGTATCTTTATGATGATCTATTTTAGGGCCCAACAAATTAGAAGAAAAAGTTTATAACAAAAAAAACTTACGTTAAACAAGGCTAGTGACACCACTTCTGAATACAAACCTCCCTCAATCTTTAAAGAGTCTCTTAGCCTCAATATTTCTTTGAGAGTCTGTAAGCCCCTGAACAAATGTTATATAAAGTATAGTAGTTGGTTTAATTTCACACTTCATGTACATATCATTATGCCTCCTATTTCTTCTATTTATTATTAACGAGTTGTTGAATATACTACTTCCACAGTACATACACGTAAGCACTTGTGATATAACACACTGAACTAACCCAATTTTAATCAATATCCATTGCAAACTGTTACAGACTTTTATTCACACAGTGGGGAAGGCGTGTGTTGATTTGTGTGCCTTGGAAATTAGAGCCCTTTTAGTGTTCCATTGTGTGATAGCTGGGATGTTTGCAATTTAGCTTGTGAGGGTTCAAACAACCCTCCATGGCTGGCTGGTAATGTGTTGTGTGTGATATTCATTGTCTTGCAAACAACAAGTCCACTAAAGGTTGTTCAGATATGGCCCAAATGCTGCCATGTTTAAAAAAATAGTTTATGTGAATGGCACCTGCGCACAACAAACGGGGGAAAATACTTTTAAAAAAATTGTGGGCTTCTTTTCAAACTTGCTTGCATTAAAATACACTCTTTAATTTGTTTTACATTGAACTCTATGCAAGTTTAGGGGGGGGGGGCTCTTTTAGGACTTTCGGGGGATCTTTTTGGCATTTCGGGGGCTAATTTGCCCTGAGCCCCCATGTATTTTTCTCTGACAACAAAGGACTTGCGCACATTCACTGAGCTCTGTATTAGAAGATACAGAAATGTTAAGCGTAGAACACCTTACGTCTTCTGAAGAAGAAAAAACAGTGCGGTTTTGCCGCGACTGAACACTGCTTGCTTTTTAAGAGATGCTGTGCTATACTGATAATAGTCAAACGTGTGGATCATGTATTTTCTTTTGCACATAAATATATCTATACTTAGTCAATGTAATTCTGAATTGGTGTAAAAGGATGTTTTGTTCGATGTTCTTACACTGAGATCATATATTTCCTCCATGAAAGGCAAAGTGTATGAATTTCAGGATTATACTTCGGCTATATTTAGCTCTTTAAATAGTAATCCATACTTTGCATGTTTGAATAACTAACAGGAAATAATCTCTTGTTCTGTTATTTCATTTTCATTTTGTAGAATCCTGTTAACATCCGTAAATTAAATTTTGTCTTCTCTTTGTGCTTTGCTTTCTTGTAGAGGAAGAACGGGCCCGCAAAGAACAAGAGGATAACGAGCGTCTGGAACGAGAACGATTAGAACGAGAGGAAAGGGAAAAGATCTTAGCTCAAGTAAGTTATCACATTTATAACAATTGTTCACATTTTTCAAAGTTACGTAATCTTTTTTTCTTTTTTTTTACCCCTTCACTAAAGCAGTAGGTTGCAGTTAATAATAAGTGTTGTTTTCATTAAGGACGCAAAATTCAATGATAACAATTTGGAATTCAAATAGGAAGTAATATTACACGGTTATGGCTTTGAGGGGGTTAGTTAGGGATCCGTGAAGCAATTACACCTATACTCAATGTTAGCATGATTTAGCCTATGTTAGCTTGTAGATATAATCCTCTGCCTAGAGGGGGCTAACTCTGTGTTAAAGCATATGAGACAGCCTCCTTCTGGCTCTAAACTCACAACATACATGTAGGGTATGCAAAGAATGTCTTGAGACAATAAATAAAGGTCCAACTTGTCTAAGCATACTGTATTGACTAGCTGGTCTAGTCTAAGATGTACATGTGCATTTCTCACTCAAAGTATGTTAGATAAGTATTATGCCTGCATCATTGGTTTACTGCATTGCCATACACACATTGTCTATTTCTAAATCTCTCACACTTATATTTTCCTTTTGAAATAATTCCTCTTTTTTTTTCCTGCACATAAATACTCCAACCATTCAAATTTCAAAAAGTTCACAATTGAATGTAAGTAGCATCTCTATTTCTTTGAAACAGTTGCAAGTAGTCTGCTGTACAATTACAGAGGAGATTTAAACAAAAGAAAAACAACTTTAACTGAAAAGAAGCAATTTCATTTTCATTAGACGATTGTGGAGCTCTTTTTGACTTTATAGTATTCAAATTGTTCTAAATGTCTACACTGATTCGCACTACAGAGAGTTCAAAGGAAATTACTACATGGTTGGCATCCGTCCGTATAGATAGAACTTTCCAAATGTTCTGGGTTTGATACTTAGAAAAGGTTGTCTGAGTCATGGCCCTAGCATTATGACACGTTAATCACAGGAAACTCTACTCATCTTTTGTTTCTTAGTTGTGCCAGTGTGGTATGATTTTTTTCTTCTAAAGCCATAATTGTACATATCCTGATCAGAGAAACCTCGCAAGGAAAAGCTTCATTATCATTTGGATGAACAATTGTTTCATCATCGCCCTTCAAAAGGATATCCTCTATCTCTCTTTCTCTCTCTTTTTCTCTCCCCCTCTCTCTCACTCTCTCTCCCCCTCTCTCTCACTCGCTCTACCCCTCACTCTCTCCCTGATCCGAAAGTCACTTTCCGGTTGTATGGGCGCATGTTTTGCAAGTTTAAATGCGGGGAGATTCCTTCAAACTCCATTAGGTTGTTCAATGTGTTGTTCGGAACCGGTAACCTGGAAAACGAACGAGCGTACATGTATATGATAATTACTCTTCTGTACTATATTGCCGTGAAACTAACAGTCTTTCTGATATTATTTTTGATCTTCTTAATAGGAACATCAGCGACATGCAGCAGAACTTGCCCAGCTTGCATCCATCTTGGAGGGTAACTACACCGCCCTTCACCATGTTAGAGAGGCACGGAGAGCACAGGCCAAGGTATGTTCAGCTTTGACCACATCGCTTTCAAATCACTGTCCGCTCTGTACAGTGAAAAAAATACACAGGGGCTCGGGCGAATTCGTCCCCGAAAAGCCCATAAGAGCCCTCATAAATTTGCATAGAGTTCAATGCAAAACAAATTTTTGAGTGCTATTTTCATGCAGGCAAGCTTGAAAAGTAGCCCCCCCCCCCCCCCCCCCCCCCCTCCAAAAAAAAAAAAAATGAATTTTTTCCCTGGCTCTGTACTGTCTTACTCCAGTCACGCCAACGAGTCTGAACCAACCAATCAACACGTTACATTACCCTGAATTCATCCTTTATTGCTAGGCTTCGCACTATCAGGCACCCGAGACAAATAGGTGCCCCAAGTCTACTTTCGGAACCCCAAGATTGTGAAATTTTAACATTTACGCATACAGACTCTTAAAAGTACCCCTTCCCCAAAAAAGCTTGCAAAGTAGTGTGCAACTCACTGCTGGTAAATAGCTAGCGTGTGAGGGATACGTACATGTAAGTCTGCCCTAGTAAGTCTGCCCTAGTTAGTCTGTGATCTCAAATCTACTCCTCCAACAAGTGATTTAGTTAGGCATAGGGTTCAGGGACAGGGATGCAATAGAAAGAATAGAAAAGCCACTCTTGGTCTTGGCGTGTAGTGAACATGTCCTGCGATAGGACAAGAGTTCAAAGTTCAAAGTTCATGGATGCACAATGTGGGGTGAGGGGAAGCCTTTAATTCAATTGAAATCCTCCGCATAGCGTGGCCTGCCCTCGCTTGGCAGGTAGTGGGTGATTAACAGGGTTACAGTGATGTCATCCAATTACTCATCCTCATCCATTGGTTGGCTATGCAGCAGCGGTGACAGATTTCAGTAGAGATAAAGATGACGAAACTCACAGCACTGTCCCCTCATCCAGTCTCTTTTCATTGGTTCACATAAACCAGCCTACGCAAATATCCAGGGTTTCATGTCCTTTCATATTGGCACCAAAACTAGATTTCACCATTTTGAAATATTCCGGTAAAAACAAAATTTAAAGCACCACTAGCTAACTTTATTCATAGTGGACTACCGCGAGAGGCTGAACTTTTCAAGATATCCTGCATATTGTGTCATGTCTTAGATAGACTCTCTATGTTGAGTTTTCATTGACATTTAAATCCATGCATTTCTAATCTTGTTACATGGAGGTGCTTGGGTTAGTTAGAGCAATGAGGAAATGAAGTGGGGAAAAGTATTCTGTTCATGGTTTAGATTCATTGGCTCAAGTAGCACTTCATGTTGTAAACCGCATTTTCTCAATGAATGCCGTTTACAGGCTCGTTCAGGTCACTCTGTGGTGAGAAGACTTGTGATAGAAAGGTCAAGCGCCTGTTCGCATGCTGGAAGGAAGTGTGGGCGTCAGATTTGGAAAATAGACGTTTTAGTTGATTCCTAAGGGATACCTTTCTTGGCCGACTTCCCAGGATAACTTTAGTTTCCCCAGTCAGTCAGTCCTAGTCTATATGCTGTGCTTCAAGAAATCAGGATGAGATTATGTAGGGAGGGAGGGAGGGGCAGAAGGAGGGAATCTGGAGAAGTTTTTTAGGTTAGACGTGTCCTATAGGGAATGTGTTTTCTTGGATGTGATGCAACATAGAGCCACGAGGGTAGGATGGAAGTTATTTGAAAAGACTGGATGAAACGGTGAAAGGGGAATGATGATTTGAAACTGAGCGGAAATCCTTGATTACTCTTTGTAAGAGTCACTATGACTGAGTTTCCTGTCATTCTCTCATCACCAGCTACAGTCATAAGGCTTGATCACAAGGCCCCTGTCCTGGAGGATATTGGATAATAGGTTTTTGTTCTGCAGTGAATTAAGTGAGCGATGCCTCACGCTGCAGTCATCGCTTGCTTTGCTCTGGGACATAAGGCCATGCGTGCGTGCGTGAGAGGCTGAGGAGTAGAGGAGCAGGAATACAGGCGCTTCTCAGAGGCAAATTGGATAATTGGGTTTTGTTTCTGTATTAGGAGACATAAGCTGGGGCTCACAGTGGAGCCGCTTTTCAAGATTTGTAATAATATAGGAAATTCCTCATGAAGGGGCTTAAGATATTAGAAGAGAATAGAGAGTCATGCTGACTTGGTGGCGTCTGTACCAGTCCCCAAAGTAGGCCACATTTTAAATGTTAAGAAAACTTTTTTCATTACATTTTGATTGCTGTTAGTCCTGCTCTCTGTGTAGAGGAACATCACACTCCCCCATATATGAAACTATGACAATAAAGTAGTGACTGGAACAACTTTCTGGCTGCGCCTGCATTAAACAAAAAAATGAAAGTCAATGATGTCATTCTGGGGTTGTGAGAAGTAGGTTATGGTAAGTGGAGAGAAACACTTCACAGAACTGTCATAGTTTCTCCATTTTCTCCCAAAACAGTTGGTCACAAACAGCATGCATCAAGCAGTGTCTTGATATTTCTCCTTGTCAGACTTGTTAGTAGCAACACTGTGTAAGAAAAGCCTGGCAATTTCATTGCTTCCTTAGCTTGATAAAGAATTGAGATTTTCAAGCTTTATTTAAAGAACTTCCCCCTGCATTGTCAACTTTGCGAGTGGAGTATTGGGACCTGCAATAGCTTATATATTTGCTTGAATTTACAGCCGATAAAAGTGTACTAGGTGTGATTCCAAGTGAATGGTTTAATCAGTTTCTTTGACATTGTTTCTTTCTTTGTGTATAGTGGGATCGGTATATGCTGTGTGATGGAAGCCCTGATCCTACCATCCCTGCTGAGATCAACACCTATATCAACCTCTGGAAAGATGACACAAAGAGAAACGAGATCCACTCCGTCCTGAAGGAGAGCCATCTTACTCTCAAGGTTGGTATAAAGAATAATAATAATAATATATGATAGAGGAGGCGCGAATAAGCAGTGGTCTTGTAATCCGGTGACCCGGGTTTGAAACCAAGGCGATGCGCTAGTGCCCTTTGGTAAGGCATTGATCCTCATTACCAGGTACCTCGGAGAGGACCTAAAGCTGTCGGTCCTCTGGTTGCTTACTTACAAGCATTTATGCAGGTAAAATAACCACCACACTAATGTCCATTAGTATATAGCGAAGCTACTATATGAATATACTCTACTTCACTTCATACAAAGGCTGTAGTTGAGCCACCGTGATAAGGCGCTAAAGAAAAGCATTAAAGTAATTTCTTCCTATCAGGTAGCCATTTATTTCACCTGAGTGGTGTGTGGCAGAAGGTTTTGCCAAAGCTCAGCGGCGAGAGATCCACTCTAAAAAGGGTATCTTCAATTAATTTCTAATAATCTTTCTGCGTTTTAATAGGATATTAGCACAGCTTTCTCCTCCACTGCTTCCCTCAATTCAAATCATCACCAGTCATTGAACTCACACTGTCAATGCTTTGTAACTTGTATCAAAACACCGACCTATGAAAGACATCTCAAAGCGCTTCGTATCCAGTGGAAAATGTGCTGTATAAATTACAACTGATTTTATGATTATCTATTTCTATTTTTTATTTGCAGTTGATTTGTGAGTTGGAGTTCCTTCTTGAAGACACGCCTGAAGAGCAGTTAGATGAAAACACTGAGAGAAGATATGAAGAAACCATCATAGAGCTACAGAACATACTCCTCAACAAGCTAGATGAAGCTACTGTATCTCTATTGAAGGTATGTTAAACACAATGCTGCGTGTTAGGACTCGGGATGCCCCTGGGGCAAATAAAACTAGGTTATACAAGAAATTAGTTATTTATTCTTGTCCACAGATGTGGAAATATGCTTTCCAACATTAATAACAGCCAACGCAACACAATGAATAAAGTACAATAGAAACACAAATATACATGCAAACAACCAGAACAATTTCATCTATTCACGCAACAAAAAAGGGGTGTAACTGTACTAATAATTATTATTCATCTTCTCAAACTTCTTTCCTCATTTAAATATTCCTCTACTACTCTTATCTTCAGTTCTTTCATTTTCTTGTCCTATTCGTAATCATTATCAGGCCTGATAAAAACCCGTTTTAAATCGGTTTCCCAATTTTTTTTACTTTTCCTGATTTTTTCCCAATTTTTTTTTTCTTTCCGATTTAAAAAAAAAAAATCCATATTTAAATTTTTTTTTTTTTTTTTTTACCAATTTTGTTTTCTTCCCTATTTTATCCTGATTTTCCCGATCCCTCTTATTTTCTCTATTCTTCCCTATTTTTCCCTATTTTTTCCCAAATTTTTCCAATTTTGTCCTAATTTTCTTACTAGAAAAGGGGGGAATGTTAGATGCCATTTTTTACCCACGAATCCTCTTTTCTTTTCTTTTTTTACTCAAGGGGGGCGTGGTCGAGGGGAAAAACAAAAAAACTATTTTTTTTTTAGTGCTCACTATCACCTCTGCATTATATCATGATCAATTGCATAATCTCATGAACCACGAACATGTGAACAGTAAAAGTAGAGCAATGTTGGTACCAAGCATAGGCTGCCAAAAGACCTATTACATCAGTTTATATTCACATACATACGGTAGTGATAACATGTGGAGAAGCTTCCGTAGCTAGTGTGTGTACAGTGGGTATGTAGTAGATAGATAGAGGTAATGATTGAATGCATTGGCATCCTACAGTGTGTAGATACCATCTGATAATGAGTTGTTACATAACAACAGTCCATGACCTTTGCACTTTGGTTGTCAGATTAAACATTCCATTCTCTTGGGACTCTAATCTGCCATTGTAATTATCATCATCATCATGAGCCAGGCAGCCAGGCAGCCAAGCATCCCAGCTATGCATGTAATGTGGATGCTCGTTTTAATAGACAATCCAATGGCTCTCATCGTGCGTTACTTTGTTCTAGCACAACCAACCAGTTTCTATTACATGCATACATACATGCTAGCTAGCTAGCGTACTTTCGGTGTGTGTGATTAATGAGAGGTCTTGGCTGAATGAAACCAGTGCTTTCCTGACGATTAATCATACTAATTTGCAAGTATACGTTGCATTTAAAAGAAAAATATTGCAATGTTGTCTAGGCAGCATTATCGTGTTTGCGTGTGTTATTGTATTCAAAAGAGGAAAGGTGAATTGTGCGTGCATTGCTTGTTTTGGTGTGTGTATATATAGAGCTTCATTCATGGAAAGGTTATCTTTAGGGTGTGTGTATATATCCTGGTGAATGCTCGAGTTGATTTGGTGGGTGTTTTTCACCTTGAAGTGAACTCGTGTCGGTGTCATTCAGCTTTGTAAGATGCAGCCTGCTGGAATAGATATACCTTGCTTGAGAATAGACTTGCAGTGTTTACGTTGCAAATAAGTGTGGATCGATTAGAACCTATTTATTTGATACTAAAATATTCTCTCTTGCATATGCTTATATCGAGTATTGATGTGTCCTGTAGTGCTCTCTTAACTGAAGTGTGTACATGTATAGCAAACATCAGCACATGTAGCTATCATCACCACAAGCGTGTTTTAAATGAAGCTCATAAAGATATCTGCAAATGATGATACTGAGATGACGCACAGTGTTTGTTGGCCTTACTGAGCAAATATAGCTACAAACTAATACCCTCTCTAATCAAATATTTGTAGACATAATTATTTGCAATATGACATTAAAAAGCAGCAGTACCTAACCTAGTTGGATGCAATTAAGCAGAGTAGGTTGAAAAGTGCAAAAGAAAACGAGAAAAGAAGCAAAGAAACGGTGGAAGCTGGCTCTCGATCTATCTATCTCTCCATCTTGGCGGTGCAAAGGAAAACTAACGAAGACGACGAACGGGACACATTGCTGGGTTCTTGATAGTACTGGCATATGGACATTGTTGTAATAATCTTACTCTCAATGTTCATCTGTCCGTACTGCCAAGTGCCTGGCCTTACATTCATTCATCCGCCATGCCATCATTAGCAGCTGATTTCTACGCTCTCGCTCGCTCTCAAAAGAAATAGATTTCTTCATTTATTTTAGAATTATAACATTAAACAAATTCTTATCAAAGCTTTATACTGTAAGTCAGTGAAAAAAATACACGGGGGCTCAGGGCGAAATAGCCCCCGAAATGCCCAAAAGAGCCCCCGAAAATCAGAAAAGAGCCCCTTTAAAATTGCATAGAGTTCAATGTAAAACAAATTATAGAATGTTATTTTCATGCCGGCAAGGTCGAAAAGTAGCCCCCGAAAAATAAATATTAATTTTTTCCCTGACCTGCTGTAAGTTTAGCACAAGTTTAACACAAGAACGGCAGCCAATAACGATTTGTGGAGGGTTTCATGTCCCAAAATGTTCTGGTTATCTGATTTATTAGCAAGGCTTTATTTGTGAGTTGCTTTTGAATGGGTTCACTTTACAAAAGAAGCCTACATATATGTTGATTAGATGCTGAAACTCATGACCTTGAAAATGTAATCTTTCAGTACAAATACCAATGGAAGGACTTGGTTTATTTATTTTTTTAAATGTTTTGTTTTATTCCTAATTTGAGCAGTCATGAGCAACAAATGGATGTTTCTGTTTGTTTGTTTCTCATGCAAAGTATGAACAGTCATACATGTAAACATCAAACATAGTTTATTATTGACAATGTGTATTTAATTTCATGTTTGGTTTTGTTTTCTCTCTCTCTCTCTCTCTCTCAGGATGCTTCCAACCATGCTGACTCTGAGACGGGTAATCTACAGTTCACTAAAGGCAACAAGGATATCGTCTTGATGCTATGGGGTAACCTCGTCAAGAACCCAAGGTACATTGCTTGTTGATAACCACTTGTCAAGTGACCTTGCAGAGTGGTCTAATCCCTCTTGTAAACTAGTACTGATAAGTTTTAAAGTTGCTCATGCGTGGGTATATATAGAGTGCAGCACACAGATGTATGCACAGGAGCGTAAGGCCACTTTAAAAAAATATACATGTTTAGCATCCCCGCCCGCTTCCATTTTGGGGGCCCCCTCCTATTTTTTGGATTTTTTTTATAGAAAAAAAACATGAAAAACACTGCTTAAATGGATCTATTTCTGATTTTAAAAAATAAAAAAAAATCTCGGCGGCCATCTTGAAAAATAGCCCGACTGTCGGGGGGAAAAAGTATCGAGCGGCCATTTAAAAAAAAAAAAAGGGGGGGGGGGGCCTCCTCCTTCCTATTTAAAAAAAAAAAAAATGGGACGCTAAACACATTTTTTTAAAATTTGGCCTAATACCCGTTGGCTCAGTGTTATGTAGTGATCACCAAGTTGCCTACTTCACGGACAACTGTATACCCATGCATGAACATCTTTGATTGTCCAAACAAAACTGAAACTAAACAAAAAAATGACATTGCATATTTGTTAAGTAGTTCTCACATCCAAATGGCACTGCAGACTGTTCTGGTAGAATTGGAGCAATAATTGTGAAGACGTTTCTGTGAAGATTGCTTTTCTACTACATGTTATGTTTGAGCTTGTTCTGCTCCGTTGGTCAGTCTGTTGAACAATGTGTTTCAACTTATGCTTTAAAAATATTTTAATTAAGTGTTATGTAGGTAGAATTATAATACAACAGCCACGATACTTCTCAGATCTGAATTCAGACAAATTAAAGGGAGTGTATCATGGGAAATACCGGTTAACGCCATCTACGTCTTCTTTTGGACAACTGCACATAAACGAATGGACTTGATTAACCGGGTCAGCACACGCTAGTGTTTGTGACACAGACTAAAGTTCTCCTCTCGCTTCGGTTTCACGTATGTTGCAGGCACGTGAATGCTGTGGTTGCGTCGTCTGTCGTCGTATTAAACCCGATTGGCCCCGGGTAGGGCCACGGGAAAGACACATAGTATCGTTGTGATACACTCCCTTTAAGCTTGTATAAATGAGATTAATATGGACGATTAATTTAGAATGCTTCTCTCTCTCTTCTGCAGATTGAAGAGCTATTCCTTTGAAGAGCAAGATTTCTCCTTTGACCTTCCCAAGCAGCTTGCTCTCTCAGACATCGCTATCCGTGTGATCCACACAGCACACGACCACTTCTCACACCGGTGCCGTACCTTCAAGCTCAAGAGGGTGCGCTACTACCCCCCTCCAGAGGAAGAAGAGCCCTTTGAGGAACCCCCTCCTGTCGAGGGAGACGGGGAGAAGGACGAGGGGGAGGATGGAGAAGGGAAGGAAGAGGATGGAGAGGCGACGGAGTCTGTGGTGGGAGGAGAGGAAGAGAAGAAAGAAGAGGCCCAGGAGGCCGCGCCCCCTACCCCAGCCAAGGAACCAGAGCCTGCCAAGACACCAGCTGGGGAGGATGAAGGTCTGGAAGAAGAAGAGTACGAGGAGGAGGAGGAGGATTACGAGCTGGAAGATGAGGATACAGTTGACCTACGAGCTTACCAGGTCTTGGGAGGGGTCATACACTTTGACCTTTTGACCATGCCCCCTCAACCTAAGCACATCAAGAACTGGATAATGACACAAGGTAAGTCTGCTATTCAGAGCAAAAACGGCATTAAATCATTCAAGTATCTGCTCTAACAACAGTGTCCTGTCTAATCTATCTTAGAAATCTTGTCTCATTGATGTTTACGACGAGTTAAAATGGCTAGTCTTCGGTGCCCTGGTCTGATCAATGTACATGGCTCTGTTTCATGATGGTGCACAATTTACACTCCTTATGTATTCTGTTCTGTAAAGCGCAAAGAGACATGCAGTTACGCCTATGTGTTGTGTGCTATACAGAAACGTTAGTGTTATCCTACTTCCTGAGTCTCATGAAGAGACTAATTTAGAGCCCGCTCCACCCATGTGCTATCATTATCGCTTTGTCGCCATTTTGAAAAAAGTAACTGCATTGGAATGGTTCTTGAGTGTACGTGATGAAATCCCTGACTGACCTTTAAAGATAAAGTTGAGTTCTGGTCATGCGATCGCTTTGTGACAGAAAAGTTGTGGAATCGAAAAATGAAAAGGTTGATCATCTAGCATATAAGTATTCGTCTGTATTGCAAGATTCTGGAACCATGTAAATGACTCAGAAGGACTCAGAAGGATGTATGTGGGACTACACGAACATGTGGCGTAAAATCCCTCCAGATTTTTACGATGTTACATGCCATATATAGAATATGAAGGCATTTGAAGAGCCATGCTTTTCAGGGAACATGTCTTATCTGATGTTCTTCCACACTTGCATAATAACAATGATAACGTTCACAACTTATTTTTCACCTCTTCCCAGAACTCGACCTTCTCTTTAACTCGTATCATGTGATTTCCTTTCAGATACATCTAATGAGCTGAAGCGAATGCCTTATGGATCAGACAGCATCAAGCTGGGTGCGTCTCTGGCCGGTACAATGGCCATGGGACTCACCCTGGACCCTAAGGCTGCAGCAGCTAACGCAGCAGCAACAGAAGCCCTGGGTGCCCCTCCTCTAGGTGTTACGGTCAAGTAAGTGGCTTTCCCCTATCCTTATAGTGTGGTCAAGTGTGACGTCATCAAAAAACTATTTTTAGAGTTTCCAAATTTCAATAGGAAATCACTGTTATTTTGCTCTGTTACATAATATTACAAACCAGAGCAAAGTATTGAAATCTATTTTTTGAGCCACATTTTTAATGGGTTCCTGATTAAGGCTGCTGTGGAGCCAAAGCAATGATGTGCACAGATAATAATAAGATATGCACTATTCAAGAATCTCTCATTACTACTACTACTGTTACTATTATTCCCTACAGGCTTCCTGATAATGTATTGCTCTGTGAAGAACCTCAGATGGTTTACTGGTGGGAAGAGGGCAAGCAATGGAGACTCGATGGCTTTCACGATGTCAAGTTTGAACAAGGTAAACATTCTCTACCATGCCTTGGGTAAACAAGCAAACAAAAATGTTTTGTTTTTGTTGTTGTTCGTGAATCTCTATAAAATATCACTATGTATTGAAATAAAAGTCATTGGTTTTTACTTTGCTGCTATTTTCATGTTGATCTGAGGCAGTATCGAATCTGGGAAACGCATTACAGTCCAAGAGAATACCTTTCTTGCTCTGTTGTGTTGCACAGTGGTTCATTCACTTGACTCTTAATCCAAGGGTTGAGAGTTCAAATCCCAGCCCGACACTCCTATCCTTTTGCAAGACATTGACGCATGTTTGCCATTCTCTATCCACATGTAAACGGGCACCTGTGTCCTAGAGTGCTTCATGTTTGGCCTCTATGCTATGACCGGGGTAATAATGTTGAGCGCCAGAGATGTAATGGTGTGTGATACATAGGTGCTATATAAGAAGCTACCAATTTAATCATTATTTCTAAACAAGATATTTCTCTCTCATCTTGTTTTCAGAGGAGAGATTACTTTCCTTCAAGACGATCAAGTTTGGTCCTCTGGCTTGCATCCAGGACAAGCATATCAATATGCCCTTCCAGTCCTGGGAGCTCTTCCCTCTCGGCACCAACCATGCTCGCTTCACCATCATAGCAGCTATCCTAGAGGTAGAGTTTGAAATCAAGGTATGCAACTATTTACTGCTTTCACAATCCAATGCAAAGTATCTCCTGGGCCACGTCTTACAAAGAGTTGCGATTGATCCAAATCAATTGCAAGTCCTCCAATCAATCACAAGTTTGCAGTCTCCTATCTCTTATGTACATAGTTGGGATTAATATAAATCGCAAATAAGTTGCGATTGATATCAACTCTTTGTAAGACAGGGCCCTGGGCTGTCAGTTTCTGGGATCTTTAAATTCAGGTACCCGCCAAAAATCAGGCAGGCACCCTAAAATTGTACAACAGTTGATACCTGTTGGAACTACTATGTAATAAAAATGTATCTCTTTCTTTTAAGGATCATCTCTGTTGTTTCAGTCTTGTCCTGGGTAAAGGGTGGCCAATATAATAGAAGTGCCTGTATTTCTCTCTCCGTAGGATCATCTCTGTTGCTTCAGACAAGCTGGTGATGGTGAACGTAAACCTGAGCTGGAATCCATCTCTAATAAGTGGATGGAGCCTCCTCAATTGATTGAGACCATGAAGAAAGCAGGAGTCAATGTCTTCCCTGAAGAAGATTCCAAGAAATATGTGAGCGTCTGTGATAAGGTGAGATCCTCTTCTTCTCTTTGATCGATTGTATGGTGACAGTCACAGGACTTATACCCCAACAGAGCTGCCAACCATTCCGTTTTGCCGGAATTACTCACGTTTTTTCCTCCAAATTATGTGTATTACGGTATTATGTTTTTTCTCTATAAAATACTCTGTTTCGATTATGATAACCATTCCTTTGGGAATCGGATGGCAGGACGATTGTGTCATGTGCGTTGGGCTTTAGGACTAAATATTGCTCCAATATTTTTCATTTGATTCCTAATGATTACAAAATTAAATTTTGGTAGAAAATGTATACTGGCTGAGTAATAAGCATAGAAAGATAAGGAAATCAAGGTAGGTAGACCCCAACACTATTTGTGTAATCCCATATACATCGTTCTGTGTGCAGTGCTTGTTACTTTACCAAGACTGGGCCAAATTTATTATGATTTTGATGACTCCAGAAGTTTGCAGTACACACCAATACTTACATGCTACATGAGCAACTTTTTCTGATCCGTTCCACACCTTTTCTTTCACAATGCAATCGGATGACCAGAACTCACCTTCATCTTTCACCCGTAATTGATTTATTAATTGATTTATTTTGTTTGATATATATATATAGGATGAGCAGACGGAAGGAGCAGCATATGATCAGATGGCGTTGACCGCATCTCACTTTGCTTATTCCTGGAGTAAATGGAACGCTGAGACATCTCCTGATAAGATCATCCTCCTGGGATGTGAGAAGCTCGTTCCAGAACCAGTCAAAGATGTAAGTTGATCCAGTCTGACTTGATAGATGATCAGATTGATTATCGAGTCAAAGAGTCATTATGTCACTCAAACGTGACACTTCCAAAGGGCAAGTCCAAGATATCCCCTATATGTTGCCATGTATTATTGAATCATATTTGGGAATTGTGAACATAAATTGACAAGAATATCATTTACAGTGAACCTGTCTTTAAAGACCACCCAAGGGACACAAGATGTGTGTTTTTTATGTACAGGTTTCTCATACATGTTTCAGTGGGAAACCATTTTCAAGGTATACAAAATGTGGTCTTTGTAGACAGGTGGTCTTTATGTACAGGTTCCTTTAGTACATGTTTCAAAGGGAAACCATTTTCAGGGGGTGGTCTTTGTAGACAGGTGGTCACTAAAGCAGGTTTGACTATTTGATGATTGGTCAGATTTAAGTTTGGACTATTAGTAGATACAGTCATCAGATCAAATCTCAGATGGGATAAAGACATCAGCAAGTACATATAATAGAATACATTTACGTAAAAGCATGGACAAAAACTGAGAATCAAATCAATGATCCCTTTAAAAATCCTGTTCAGCCCCAACATGATTTGCATTCATATTAATTGCATTGTTTCATCTCGATCTCATCTTATTGCATGTTTTAATTGGATTTGATATGAATGAAATGCATTGCTTACTGTGCCATCAAAAGCTGGACATAATTGATCCATTAGCATTATTTCTCATATTCACTTGGTTGTTTAATCTGTAATACACCATGCAATTTACAACCTTGTTTTTGTTCGAGTTATTCAGCTGGTAATATTCATAATGCCACACACATATTTTTATAAACATTGTATAGTCATTTTTTACATGCTGCAAAGCCTGCAATAAATTGTTTTGTTTTGCCCCAGTAATTGTTGAGTGAATTCCTTATTCCATTCACAATGCTGATCCATTATGGTTATTCACCTCCAAATGTATATTATCGTCAAAAAGTGATGCAAATGGACACACCCTTGCAGCTATGTAATCATGTTTAAAAATTAAAAAAATCACTGAAAGCATTCTGCATCATGTTATTGACCTGAACCTAACCAAGCCTATATTGCATGTAAATCACAAAGGTGTTGGTGGAGATGTTTTGAGCACTTGAAATACAAGATCAAGTTTTTGCTGAATCTCAAGAATTAGTAAACCATTCATGAAATACTCCATTGTTAGTCACCATCCATAATGTTAACCAGGGACCCATTTCACAAAGCCTTTTTTCAATGACAAATGACAAAGATCAGTGACAAATATGTTGATAACCAATCAGAAGCAAGGATTTCAGTAGCTTATAACACAACTTGTCATTTGTCACTGATGACAAGTTTTGTGAAACCCCCCCCCCCCAGTACTTCCATTTCAAGTTGTAGTGAAGCTTTTTTAATTCACTTGAATTACAACAAGTTCACAATGTAGCAAAACTCATAGCCTATTGAAAGAGATAGTTGTGACACCAGCATTTGTCAAAGGTGAAATCATGAAGCTCCAAATGGTTCCCCCCTCAGTACAATCTCTATTGAAGAGAACTTTTTGGAGCTTCATGAAATGCCTGACCAATTGGAGGCAACTTTCGGTGATGTAACTCTCTCTCTCAACTAGCTATGGCAAAATTGCAATCATTTAGTAACCATTCATGCTTAAGAAACCATATCAGGGCCCTGCTGCATACAACTTACAATTGATGGTACCTTGGCCATCAATATGAACTACTCCACAGCCAATCAAAACATTGGAAGTTACCATCAATGGCAAAGTTACAATCAATGGTAACTTAGCCATCAATATGAACTACCATGGCAACATCCCTCCACAGCCAATCAAAACATTGGAAATTACCATCAAAGGCAAAGTTACCATCAATTGTAAGTTGTATGCAACAGGGCCCTTGTGGTAGTGAAATCAAGCTTCATCACATTGCATTGATCATGCTAACCATTATTCCATTTTATTCCCCTACCTTATTTTGATATTCCATTATGTTGCATACAAATAGAGCAAGGTATTTACTAGACCAGAGAGAGACCAGTTCACATACAGTGTGCCGTGCTCGCATGACCATTCAAGGCTCGTTCACATACAGTGCGGGAAACTGGAACTTGACATTTGTTTGATTTGAAAATAATGGCCAGTGAAGTGAGAAAAAGAGACAGAGGCCGCTTTTATTTGGTGTTATAAGATACAGGAATATGGCACGTTTTATTTCATTGTGACAGTTTCCAGCATTTTGTGAACGAGGCTTCAATGATAACACCGGAACTTGTTAGCATAAAGTTTTAATCAATTGCATTGATCAGTGTTGTCTCTGACTATGGTCAAATTTTACAAAATTGGCAATGTAGTGATCATGCAATTTAATGTTAAATTTTATGTTAGCAGGTCCCGGTGATTCAATCTATTGTGACTAGGTCTTCATATTCTCCTAATTGAAGATCAAAACTCTCATTAACATTTTAGTAGAATTAAAACAGAATATGATTAACACGTTATCTCAATACATATTCTTTGTAGAGATGTGTAAATGATTTGTTTGTTAACATTTTATATTTAACTTTATTCCTCTCATTTCATCCTAATATGAAATGCATCTACAGTACAACTAGTATTAATACTCTTCAAGTATTCTTAACAAATAAACATACCTTGTTTGATGATCTCTCATCAGTATTTGAAGCATGTGTACAAGATCTTAATTTCATCCAAGAGCTGCATGCGTATTAATAATTCCCTTCTTTGATAACGTATGATTGGTAGTGCACAAATTATTTACAAGGTGAACCAGTGCATCATGCTTGGTCATTCTCACAAGTCTTGACTCTCAACACTATCATTACTATTCTGTGTATGGAAAGCAACTGATTCACAATTTTGTTCACATTATATAGTTTGAAAGAGTTGTTGTATTACACAGCACATGTATTCCAAAGCACAGTGATAAACATTCACTGCACATCAAATTTACATTTTTTTTACCTTCACAGTTACGCACCAATCTTACACAATTTTGACAGTTACACACACTTATTTTTATTTTTGTTAGTATACTGACTAATGTATCTTTAGAAAGATGTTATTCTGTACATTATTATTTTCTATATTATGTTTAAAGATATTTGTACATTTATAGTAGGAATTTGTGTCTAGTGAGAAAGTTTTGAGGTGTAGTACTAATGGACAAAGACATGTACTGCAGTAGCAAATCACTTCAGTCCGGTGACATATCCACTCGACACGACCACGATAGCCTTAAAGGGACTGTTTAATAATATTAAATCTGAGATACACAGCCCTACGTGTTATCAGTGTCTGTGATATGGTGTAATATTGAAGCCCTAAAAAAAATTACACTTCAAAATGATCAAGAAGTGCCTCGAAAAAGTAAAAATCTTTGAGTGACCGGTTTTACCACACTCGTTTTGCCCAATAGACTGTAGTGTTATGAAAACTTGTTTGTCAAACGGTTTTCAAAATTTGTAATTCCAATCATAAATATCTTGATAATCAGACAGGAGATCGGCTTGTAAAAGTCATGGTGTTCCTGACTGACCTAAAGCTCTATAATTATCATTGCAGCATGAGTTTAATCCAGAATTTGTTTCAGAATCTAAGACAAAGTTACCGAATCCCTTTAACATATGGGACAAAATACCTTCAACTTGCCTGTATTCACCACTGTAGGAATGCTCCTAGCCCCAGTCCTTTATTTCCCTGATGCTTACCCTTGTTTATCTATCCTTGACCTTACAGGAGGATTGGCAAGTCTTGTTGACCAGTAAGAAGCAGACGTCCAAGCTGAAGATGGGAGAATACGACGAGGAGTTCTCTGAAGCCTTCGCCGAGGGGTCACAGTTTCACGCTGACCTTTATCACATGGTCAATGACCTTTGCTCCGAGGGAGGTCATGAGCGCATGAAGAACACAGAGTTTGGATACATCAACGCTGTACACAAGATGCTTGAAGCAACAAGGGTTATTGCTTTCTCTTAGACTGCTTAACATGATTAACGATTACAGTCTTTTATGTGAGATAATAAGGGTATTAATTCCATGTGCAGTGTTCGGAGACAACTAGTGTTTTTGCTTTGTCCTTAAATTGCTTTCATGCTTAACGTGACCTAGGATAATAGTCTACTTGAAGAACTTAAGAATATAAGGACGTTTCCTTTGATCTACACTTTATCCACAAGATGCCAGAGGTAACATTGCTTTCCTCAAACAACATATTTCAGGGCTTAACAGGATAAGTTGTTCATTGTCCTTTTGGAATGCTCCATTTCATCTTGAGACAAAGAATGACATCTATGATAAGGATATTAGATAAATGTTCAGCAAATGTTACATTCTCTGCTCATAAGTCCAAGATGGTACAAAACTAGGAAATTAATGTAGATCATTGGCACTAAATAAAACATTTTGTAGATCATTATTGGGGCATTGCGTTTGTTTAAAGTCATTCCAAAATGTTATTCCTGGATTAAAGACCTTCTCTAAAAGGATGTATGGTTGTTGCGTGAATCCATGTGATCCATCACTTTCCCTAACACATCTTTACATGTATTCAGTACTTGTATTCCTTATGTGTATGCAGGCAGGGCTTGACATTAGCATTTACTTGAGTACCTCATAACACGGTTAAGCACAGCCTTAACAGTAAGCAATGCATTTCATTCATATCAACACCAATTAAGACATGCCCTGGGCACATGAGCAGTTGGGGCACCCACAAAATTCAAGTCCAGACCTCAGGACCCCTACGTTTCAAAATGTTTCATAGGGGTCATGCATTCAGACTCTAGAAAGATCAATCTGGAAACCCTTCCTAAAAAGTGAGCGTGGAGCCCTGATGATATAATACTAAATAGATACAGATAATAACACAACATGAAATTTGTGTAGGTGTTCTGCAATGCTTTAAATTGTAAGATAAAAGTAATATGAAAGTATAAATAAGATTATATAAAACTATTTCTATCATTCCAGCTGTAAATGCCGTCCATGTAATGTATATAATGTAGATAAAGAGATAAATTTTACTGCAAGTCTTTCATTTATATTTTATGTAACATTATTATGCAAATGTTTCTAATCACCTTGACTGAGTAACATGTGTGGCATAAAATAAATGTTCACCCTTTCATGACATCCTTTGCATTTAATGCGAGTGTAGTCTGAGTAGGAACCCATTAAACCCTGTGATCACTGGACCAAAGATCGGTGACAATAGGTACCCAGAAAAAGATGATTGATTGAAATCGATAGCAACTCTGTTTTAATGTAATCTGCATTCACAACTTTGAGATTGATTAGAGGACTTGCAATCAGTTGGAAACTATCACTACTCTAAGCTTCACTAAATGGGAACTTCTTCAGCAGCACTGGATTGCACACAGAGTGTATCAAGTTTAAGTCTGAAAGAGGGACAATCAATTTTTCTGTTGAAATAATATTGAGAAGGGTTTGAGTTATCTCAATCTGACCTTGAAGTCACACATGTAACATGATGTTCATTTTAATTCTACGTCCAAGATGTCTATGTCAGAGTTTATATATTAATAAAATCTTTACAAAATTGAAAACTGCATTATGTGTAAAAAAATGTCTAATTTAAAAAATTGCTTCTGTATGTCAGCGGACGATATAATCAGTGATGTGAGAAAGAGAGAGAGAAGACAGACAGACGAACAGATAGAGAGAGTGAGGGGGTATACAGAGAAGGGGGTATTATCAGATATATGTAGGATATTAACTAGATATTGATAATGAAAGAGGGAAACAGAGACAATATAGTTGAAAGAAAATATATAGCAGAGAACTGAAGCAAACGTGAGTGTATGGAGAACATCTGGGAACATCTAATCTCTTTACATCAAATGAGCTTGAGAAGGTCATAGGGAGAAGAAATTTCATAGAAGCATGCCGTGATCAAATCTATCAGTCGAGAGAGGGAAAGAGACGAAGCGAGGGAGAGAGAGAGAGAGGGAGACTAGAAAAAGAATGAGAGGAAAGTGATAAGACAGACCAAGAGTGATGCAACTAGAAAATGGTAGGACAAAATTCATGGATTAGACAACGTGAGAATGTTTTCTAAATAATCATACTAGATGCTTACCGGGTATTAAAACGTTAAAGCACAAAATAAACAAAAATAATACAATTATTTGGATGCAAGTGACTGGTTGAAGGTTTTGATAATTTAAGAGGACATACATGTATTAATAGAAGGACTTGTCTGCCAATTATTTCACAAACTCGACCAAAAAAAAAAAAACTGAACAATTATTTTAAAACATATTCCCCGATCTTCAAGCTCTAATTTCACTGATCAATTCTTATTTTTGTTAATATGAAATCATTATACAAGCATACAAACTGTTATTAAAGAATAGATAAGATAAGATAAAATTTGTACATACATCGGTCTACCATAAAAAAAAATAAAAAAAAGTCAGTGAAGTTCGAATAGACCTATGAAAATGACAACACAAAGAGAAAAAAACCAATCCTGATGGGACTTTAAGCACAATCTAGTGAAGGAAGACTAAAAAGTTATATTTTAAGTAATATAACTGTAACAACTATAAATGCGAGTGAGCAAAGCAATCAAGTTCTAGGGAAAATTTAAAAGAAGGGGCTCTATGTCGCTTTGAATTAGGGGCGCATGTTATGGGAACAGAATAGTAGGCACTTATCAGAAGGGAAAGGGATAGTTATTAGAAAAGAAAAGGTGCACGTATCAAAGTAATAAGGGCAAATCAGACAGGTATTTAATGAGGCACTAATTCTTGCACCTTAAAAGGGACACTCAATATATATGAAATAAGGCACTTGTAAAAATGTAAACATTAGCATTTTGAAAAGGGGCTATATAAAAAAGGGAGAAGGACACATCAGATTGAAAAAGTCGACTTATTAAAAAGGAAAAAGGGCACAAGTCAAATTTTTTTAAAAAAGGCAAATTTTCAGAGGTGAAAAGAGGGATTTCTTGCGCCTGATAAGAGGCACCCACTAGAGATAAAAAAGGCACTTCATAGTGTCAATTATTGGGGGTGAAAAGGGGGCATTTATGAGAAAAAAGGGGCACTCATCAGAAGGAAAAAGGGCACTTTTAAGAAAGGAAAAGTGACACGTGTCTAAATAGAAAGAGCACTTATCAGAAGGGGAAGGGGACAATCATTACAAATGAAAGGTGGCAGTTGTCGAAGTAAAACATGTACCTCTCAGATTTGAATAGGGCCAATTAACAGAGGTGAAGGGAGCACTTATCAGAGATGGTAAGGGGGCACTTCTCGTACCTGAACAGGGGCACTTACCAGAGATGAAAAAGGGCACTTATGAGAGTGGAAAAGGAACACATACTGCAAAAGAAAAGGGGCAATTGCGGAAGGAAAAGGGGCACTTATGAGATTTTAATAGGGGCATTTATCAGAGGTGAAAAGGGACATTTATGAGAAAGTGAAGGGGATCTTATGAAGAAAAAAAAGAGGGGTGCACACTTATTACAAAAGGAAGGGGTTCTTCTTACAATGGAAAATGGGCGCTTTTGGAGTACCTGAACAAGTGTGTGTGGGGCAAAATGATTGCCCCCCCCCCCTTCCCGGAACTGTATACAAGTAAATTGTATTTATTTATATGTATTTATAGAGAGGGAGCGATTCTGATATCATCACCAGCGGCGTAGCGTGGGCTCAGTCATCGGGAGGGGGGGGGGGGCATTTATTTATTTATCAGGGTAGCCCATTCACCAATAAGTAGTGGTCTTCCATGGGACCCTGAATAAACATGAACATATATACATCAAAAAGCATAACGTTTATACAGAACAGTTAAAATAAAATGTTATGGTACACTTAGAAAAATATAACCCAGCAATAATAGACGTGGCCTAAACGAATACTCGTTTGCAAAATAATAATAATAATAATAATAATAATAATAATATTAATAATAGGCATTTATATAGCGCCGTCTATCTAGACAATTCTAAAATTTTGCGAGTGGGCAAAAAACGAATGACATTTTTAATTTTGTATTTTGTAACCAAAAACACTAGGTAAAACTTAAATGTTGCATACGCAAACCTCGCTGACGAGAACGTAATACAAAACTCATATATTCGGTCACCTCGATTCGTATATGAGGATATTCTTGCGTCTCGTTTACCAACAAATTCTTGTTTTTATATGTTGCAAAAAAGTAAAGCGAAGAAGCGTGGTTAAAATGAAATATCTGTGATGATGCAGTAGCGTACCTATACGAGGGCACGTGCCCCCCCCCCCCCCCCATCGAATGAAGGAGATAAGGGGAGGGAAGAGATGAGAGCTAGGGGAGAGATGAAGGGAAAAGGAAGACAAGATGAGATTTAAAAAAATTATTGTATAAGGAGATAAATTGCTAGATTTGTTTTCCCTCAAAGACTATAGGCCTACTATTATAATGTGAATGCATCTCTTACAACAGATTATGATAAAGATGTATTACCTTGTTTAAAAAGATATGAATATGGTAAAGATAGTGAGATTATGGCCACTGCAAAAAAAAAGAAATTTTAAGCAAAATAAATGTTAAGAATCAGTTTTTGTTTACAGGTTTGATACTCATCATAAAATCAAATCGTGGTTTTCATCTGATTGTAAGAGTTGCCTTTGCATAAAAAGCATTTTCGAGCTATCTAAGTCCTTAAATAATTCTGGCGTTGTTTGTCTTCCCTCGCTCTCACACCTTCACCCCTTTATGTTTGGCCCTTCCCGTAGAAACAACACTGGTCATCATCTTTTAAACAAGATGTTTTATTATGAAACTTCATTTTCCTATTAATTTGTTTGCCATTTAATAGAAAGTGAAATAGAGTTTGGTCTGATCAGAGAACAACGAATGTGGGCCAATCTTTATTTGCAAGTATAAGGGGATTTTTATATGAGGAGAAACGTATACATGAACTGCCAAAATAATTGACTTTGTCAATAAACAAGTTTTGTAGCAAACTTTAAGAAGGGATGAAGTAAAACCATACATGGACTGTCGACATGATAACTACCAAATCTGCCATTGTCACTCATCTTCACGATGAAACAGAACTCATTCATTGCTGCTTTTCGCCGATGAAATGTGTAGCGCCATCTCTTGTTCAAAACATTATAAGATAGCGTTTCAGTCTAATCTTCCGGCACTGATATCTTAACTTGAACTTTATTGGAACACATTTTTAGTCCATTGGGGGCAAATAAATGCTTAAGATAGAGAAAAAAGCAGACAAAAAAATATATATATATATCTACATTTACATCATATTTGAAAAGTAGGCCTAATAATTGTCAATAAGTTTTGAAAAAAATTTCTCATCTAGTTACAGAAATGAGGGAAGAAAACAAAAAGGCAACAAAAGGTGAGGAATCCTTAACAAATATAAATTAATAAATAACACCAATGAGATTTCGGTACCCTGATACACTGACTGTATAGGAACTTCTTTAACATTAGTCATCTTAACATTTAGAGGAGAGAGGGTGAGGGGAGAACTAAAATGAGTGGTATAGAGGATTTGATTTTCACCATGATAGAGTACAAACTTGAATTAACGAGCTTAAAAAATCCCTGTTACGAATTGAACAAAAAAGTTCGTTTTAACGATTTAATTGCAGAGCATCGCTTTATTCTATGTTATTCTGAACTAAAGGTTTCAATAACGTTTAATAAAAAATATATTTTTAATATAGCTACCTATACAAAAAAATTCAACACCCGAAGTATATTGTTAAGATATTAGTGTGAATAGGCGGAGGTATCAACTTTTATGTAGCCATCAATTAACGCTATACCTTCATAGACGTCAGCAACATCATTTTCAGAACTTTTAATAACTTTTCTCAAGCCGGGAGTAGTGACAAGTGCAGCATGAAGTCATCTTCCTTTTGTCTCTTTTATGAACATTCTTTGAAACATAAATAAATACATACACTAGAAAATATTCACAGACAATATTCATAGGCAAGTGAAGAAAGTTGAAATAGCATGATTTGCATCAAGAAAAGAGAACAGAACATCGGCTAGGCATATCATAATTAAAGCTTGGTGTTGCTGTATTTCTATGAAAAAAGTACAGGATTCAAAGAGGTAGAATTTAATGAAATGTTGTCTACACACAATTGATCGCTTATACTAATCTAAAAATAGGATGGGAAAAAAATCCTTTCTTTAGTCAATTTTAAATCATTCAATAGAATTTTGAAATTAAATATAAAGTTATTGATGATATAGTTAGACATTCATGTCTCTTCGTGGCCGGGTTTTATTTTTTTTTGCCATAAGTCACCTAAATAAGTTAGCCCCTCCCTCCCTACCTAGCTTAGCCACCTCCCCCTCCCTCCTCCCCCTCATCCCTCGATCCTACCGCCTAACCCTTACAAAAAAGTTTGTAAGGGTTAGGCGGTAGGATCTATAAAAATGTTTTATAGAGATTCTATAGAAAAGTGGCCGGGCCACTTTTCTATAGAAATTCTATAGAAATTTATAACGTACCTCTATAGAATCTCTATAAATCATTCTATAGAATGGCCTATAGAAATTCTATAGATTTTTGTATAGAATTCTATAGAAGTTTTTTTGTAACTAAATTCTATATGACCATTTTTTACCAGTTGACATCTGGCCACCGATTAAACCATATTTATATGTACTCCTGCAATTGCTCCATCACAAAGATCATTTGAAGCAAAATACAGTTTATATTGTTAATTAAGTAGTGCGGAGATCTTACATACATTATACATGTTTTTACTGGTTAGTAAATTACATATCTATTTTACGTCTTAAGTTAAATGTTTAAAAAATCGGACATTATATTTGTCAATAATTGACTAAGAAAATATAAATCACAAAATTGATGTTAATTGTCACATTTGCTTGACAGATCATGATAATTACATTTTCTGTGAAAACATGCAAATTATCATGAATATGCATGAGATACATATCTTCATATAGAATTCTATAGAAAGTTAGATCTATAGGAAACTTACTCTATAGAATTCTATAGAGAAGACTGATTTCTATAGACATCCTTACAAATTCTATACTGAAGTGGGGACGCCATTTTTTATATCAAATTATCTATAGAAATTTAAATCTATAGAAAACTTATTCCATAGAATTCTATAGAGGAAACTCATTTCTATAGACAACCTTACAAATTCTATAGAGAATTAACTTTTCTATAGAAATTTAAATCTATATAGAAAACTTATTCTATAGAATTCTATAGAGGAAACTGATTTCTATATAGACAACCTTAAAAATTCTAAAGAGAACTAACTTTTCTATAGAAATTTAAATCTATAGAAAACTTATTCTATAGAATTCTATAGAGGAAACCGCTTTTTATAGAGAATCCTTAAAAGTTCTATAGAGAATCTGGAATGTTATAGAGTTCTATATATAGAACACTATAAAGCGTTCTATAGAATTCTATACAAATTTGTTGTAAGGGAATCAACCCCAATTGTTGGGGGCGGGGAAGGGATGAGTAGATTCTTACTGCTTAGTAGCGCCATAGCTTATTGATGACATAAACAGAATCATGTTGATAGACAGAGACCTATCTATCTCAAAACTAAAAAAAGAATGCCTTATTCCAGAGTTGACCCACTTTCTGTTTTGGTCATGTGATCAACGAATTACACTTCCTTGTCTAGTTTCCATTGACAATTGTTTTGTGCCATACAACGTAGTTTTCGTAGCATTACCGCGTTCGTGTTATTGAGTATCCCAACATAGATTGCTCTTTAGTACGCACTTCGATTGCAATTGTTTACGGATTTATCATCGACCGCAGTCGAGAGGTATGTGGAACAAGTTTGCACTTTGTTTGCATTTTTATTTGCTTTAGAGTAAATCTTGATTAAATATAATCATAGCGTGGATACGGATGATGATCTTTGTTCATTTGCGGAAGTTTGATTGACATAAGAGTTGTTTTAAAGCACGAAATCGAAATCTTTTGTTGTGTTCAATTCCGTGCACCGTACTAATTTGTACGATCAAAGCCCCCGCGTTAGATGGTGCAGTGAAGCCTCCTCGTGCACCGCCGGAGCTTCCCCGCTGAGTTGAGTTAACTGTGGTATGTGGGGGCGAAGAGTGAGTTCGGTTCAACTGTTATTGCATGCTAGAAAGTGATTGGTGGTAGCGATTGAGGGTAACCCAGTTCATGATGAAATCAAATGGATGTACTTTCGAATATGTTTAGAGTGTGTATGGGATGTCTTTGACTTTGTAGAAGAAGATTCTGCTCTGGATGAATATGAATTATTGTTGTTGAAATTGTTACTTTTAAGTCTTTGTTGATGTTCGATCTAATCTAGACCAAAAATGTATGTCTCTTTCGTTCGTTAGCCTCCTTTTGGGTAGAGTCCGCTCCTCTCTTTAGAGACAGGAGCAGGCCATAATAGGTTCTCCCTGTGCGAAGTTTACTGGCAATAGTGGCATGATTGTGCCTGTAAAGTCTAAGAATCTGCTAAAATTTCATTCTTTAGCGTATCTGATGCATTTACAGTTATACTCGGAAATTAGGCCTAGCTAGCTAGCTCCACTTACAAGCTTCACTGTATCATGCATTTAAGGGTCTTTTTTCAGGATTTTCCTTGGTGAAATTCAACTCCGTGTTCAAATTCTTGCAGCCGTATAGGCCTAGTGTTACTGTCAATAGATGCTAGATGACGTCATCTTCTTTCATGTACATTGTACATGTTTTCTTGTCACTTACATTTGTACATGTACATGTATGTTTTAGAATCCCAGAAGGCTAGAACTATTGAAATCCCCTTTTGCTTCCAAACGGCCATCACATTTTTTCTTCTTGATTGTTACAAAACAAGCACAGGGGAAAATTAAGTGAGTGAATGTTTAATAGTTTGCTACCCCATTCCCCCAATATAAAAAAGAGTTCAGCAATTAATCCCCAAGTTTCTGTTCAGTTGTTTCAGTGTCAGTTTTGTTATGCTGTGTAATAAGGAAGTAACCATGTCCAATTAAACCTTGTGATTATTATTTTACCTGCCTGCTAAGAAACCATGTACAATGTACTGTACAGTGTACATGGACATGCTTGGAGGTAAACAACCAGGGGAAAGATGGCTTTATAAAGGTACTATTATAGTGTACTGTATGTTCCATTTGCAGGCCCCTTCAAAAATGAAAAGGTTAAATTCCAACAGCATTTGAAAGATAATATCAATTTAAAAACTTCCCTCAAAACCAAGGGCTTGAAAATGTATTTTTGTGGGAAAATAACGACTGGTACCTACAGTGTACATGTACTGTAGTTGTCAACAGAGACTTTGGGGATTGCAGTCCTTTTATTAAATACAGGTAGTCTGATTTTCAGAACCTTGTTCCGAATGGTTGTATGTTTTATATTGCGCAAAGATTTAATCAGTTTAATTTTGGCCATTACAAGAAATGTGTTATTGATGTAGACAGATGCTCATGTACCCTTTACACTTTACAGATCATTTTATGTATGCTATTACCAAAGAAAAATAGAAGTCGGTTAGTCAGCTCAGTCACTCGATAGTGTCTGACAGTGAAGTCTAGAAACTAAACGAGTTTCCATGCATAATTTGAGTACTAGTACTCTTTTTTTTGTGTGTGTGTTTATTATAAGTTTTAGTTGGTAATTTTAAGTCAGACAATGGTGCGCTTAGAAACACCGGCATTATTATTACTAGGACACTGCTAATGTTTACAATTCACTATACAAAGTATACAGGTACAGTGTAAGTGCTTTTCACTGAAGTCTCTATCAGCACTTCATTATTAACAAATTCACAATTGATGCATACAGTATCATATAACAACACAAAACATTTCCAGTAGGGTCCTGGTATAAACTTCTTCCACTGATGTAAAAATAAAATCCTGAAGATCACAAAAAGGCACTTGTAAGGCCCTCCTCTTCCTCCTCTAGATGTGTGTGTGTTTGTGTAATTTGATTTTTATAGACGTGTATCAATCAGATATGATTATTTACGTCTGTGACCGACCTTAAACGTCACCATCCGAAAGACTTGACTCGGTTTCGAATCAGGGTCGCCTGAGTCAGTTTGTAGACGAAGATAGAGAGTTGACCAAGTGAACGTGCAGCTAGACCAACCCATCTCCCTAGATGTATTCATCATTATCTCTAATGGGATTTAATCTCATTCAGGAAACTGATTGATTACATCCGGGATGGGAGTATCTCTATCTTATCTTCCTGTTGATATGTATCAAGGAAGTAAACACAGACAAGACATGGTGAACCCCTGCCCTGTAGCTACATCATGTACTGTATGTTGACTGTATGTACTGTACATGTAGTGTAGAGCTGCTAGACCGGGATTAATTTAATTAAAACATTCTCTGGCCGAGTGGCAGATGCCAAACAGTCACATAATGTAGATACATGCATGTACATGTATAGGCCTACTGCAGGGGAAAATTTAATATTTATTTTTTGGGGGCTACTTTTCAAGCTTGCCTGCATACAAAAAAACACTCTAAAATTTGTTTTGCATTGAACTCTCTGCAAATTTATGGGGGCTCTTTTGGGCATTTTGGGGGCAAATTCGTCCTGAGCCCCGTGTATTTTTTTCACTGGTATACTGTACATGTAGTCCTCACCGATGTACACTGTATGTGTACATGTATGTTGACTGGCCCTTGTTTTGTCTCTGTGTTGCTATACCACTTTCATTATTCATACCTTCATCAGTTTATGCACCTGTCTGTCTGTCTGTGTGTACATGTATGAATTAGGAAGTTTTAGACAGCCCTGAACGTGTGCAGTATGTAGGCTTTGTGCTGTCGTGATCTCTGCTAAATTGAAATACTGGTAGCCGTAAATGAAAATCTTAAAATCTACCTATTGTACATTATGTCTTGGTGCTCACAAGGAATCGAACTCTCTATAAAATCCAGAAGTAAAATATCATACATGTATCTTGCTACATGCACAGTATGGAGCTGTAAAGCTAACACGGGATTAGATAAAATGCTTTAAGACAGCATGTTCATACTTTGAAGTTTGAACCTTTCTTTGATTTGAGTGGGGTCATTCATGTTAAAGTTAATTCTTGAGTAATGTGTTCATGTACTGTAGATACATGTACATTACATGTACGTCTACATAGCAATGGAAATCATATCGCATTTCACTCTGTAGCCTGCTACATGTACATGTGCAGTATGCCTTGAATTAGACATAGCAAATTCATCCATGTACAACTCTGTCCCAACTGTATGTATGTGCCAATTTTGTTTCAATTTTGATCTTGATCTCAAGGCTTCCATCTTTTGATTGTGGTGAGAACTGTTGTGAATTCATTTCATTTTCAATTATTCCCTATTGACACTGACTATTCTATCTCTGTTATTCTAAGCCATTCATCATAGCAGGGTGCAGGCGCAAACATAACAAATAAATCTTTCGGCCATTCTTTGAATTTTAATAGCAAAGGCTGAAAACTCTCCTGTCATAGAAGATAATGTTTGTGTTTGCAATGTCATGTGATAATACTATAGTAAAAATTGACAATTTAGGTTTTTTAATATAAATTTGAAAACATATGAACCACACTGTACAGTTGTACATATGATGCACATGTTACCATACAGGTACATGTAAGTTGAAAAAATAAGAAAACTTATTTGACAGAAAATGAAATGTGATTGTTCGTATGAGAGCAGTATGTTTTCATATTAAAGTGCGTCATCGTTGATATTTATAGATCATGATTGACTTGAAGGCCTTCTATTGTAGACATAATGAGACGCTCTCCAAATATGATCGTTCATCTTCATCGCTAATGAATTAGATCAATTTCTTATTATTGACCTCTTTTCTTCTCCCGAGCTCCCTCTCTTCCCCTCTCTTTCTCTCTCCCTCTCTCTCCCCCTGTCTCCACCTGTCTCCACCTCTCCCCCTCCTCTCTCTCTTTCTATCATTGTTAGATGAGGATAGTTTAAGAGCAATAATGATACAGGCCTAAGGTATAATGAGTGTAATAGCCCATTGGTATGACAGTATTGTTTGACAAAATTCAGTTTGATCGTCTTATGAGGCAGGTTCCCCCTACTAACAATCTACATACCGTATTATCATTAATACTCCTATGGTAGGCCTACCATTTGAACTTTAAAAAAAAAAAATTCAGTCAAATCAAAAGACAATGAGCACTACAGTTATCAACAATGAAATGTAGCCTTTCTGTACACCGATCTTAAATCAGCTTTCAGGACATGACAGTTGCTTCAGGATGTACATGTAGGCCTGGTATTAGAGGGAAGGGTTTCCTTCCTTCCCTCAACGGTGGCGTAGCATAATACATTCATCATCATATACAAATGTACCTCCATAAGTACTGCAACCAAAAATCATTGATTTTCTTATATTCTGATCTTTCCTTGGTAGTTGCTCAGAGAAGCTAAAGCAACTACCGGCAAACACAACAAACAAAAAAGAAAAAAATCCACCTCTGGAGTGTGGTTATTTTTATCGCCGGCATAAATTTCATTGAATTTTGCTGTTTAAATGCCCGCTCTTGAAACATCAGTAAATGATTTTGATTTTTTGGTCAAGTGACTCTCTGTGATTGTATGAGATCGCATTCAAAGCAGCGATAAGTTGCTCATTACGTTCTACTCACCAGAATGAGCAAAAGTCTTAATTAGCCATTTTTATCGTGGTGTTCCAGATTAAAACACAGTAACAGTTATGAAAGCTGGATTAACTTTATGGTCCTTAAAGGTAAAGACCAGTATTGGAAACGCCCCTACATGTATTTCAAAAAATGAAATGCAAGCTCTTATTACCAATCATGTGAAAGAATATGTTTTGAATAATACATGATGATAAAAATGATGATAAAAATGTTGACGGGAAACCGCCTTCTAATTGATATATTTGGTAAATTAGTGTATCTCTCGCCTGTTGAGAGATACAAATGCATGTGTCGCACACGTGTGTGTAGTCCCATATACATCTTTCTGTGTACAGTGATTCTAACTTTATGAAGACTTGGCCAAATTTCTTATCATTTTGATGATTCCAGAACCTTGCAGTACATCTATGCTAGATGATCAACCTTTTCTGATCGATT